CTCTCTCTCTCTCTCTCTCTCTCTCTCTCTCTCTCTCTCTCTCTCTCTCTCTTCTGTTTTTCTGTTTCATCCAGCCTTTCTCATCGTAAGACGCGCAAAGACGCTTATTTGTTTGGCGCGACGCCCGCTTTAATGACGTCGGCCGACAATGTGCCCGCGCGCGCGATATCGCGCTGCATTATGCTCGGTATCTCTCGTATAAATCGCGCACGCCGGCCGCCCGGTGTGGCAGTCGCCGATTTTCCCCTTAACCGCGAATACCGCGACGGTTTTTGCGCGAGAACCGCGGCCGCGCACTCTAATCCGGCAATCTCCGGCTTCCCGACGCGACGCGACGTCCAACGTCGTCGCACCCATCGCCGCACGTTTCAGTGGAAACTCCCGACCACCCGCCCGTCCTCCCCCCACCCGAATGGCTCGGAGGCCAAGGTAGACGTGCTTGTGCTTTTTTTTTTGCTTCTTCTTCATCTAAAGCCTAATCTACAATGTACTCTTTGTGCTTGTTTCATTGCTTCTGCCTCTTGTTTCTTGTCTTCTTGTCGCCTAGAATCAAGAAACATTCGTCGTATACAATTTGTTCTCTCTGGAGAACACTTCGCGTGAACCAATCGGAATAAATCGTTTTATTTAGGTAAGAGGCTGACTTCGTTTAACTTCACTAGTTATAAAACCTGACCTACAATGTGTTTCTTGCTTCCTGTTTCGTATTCTCTATCTTCTCCTGGCTTATGGTATAAGATGGTATAAGTCAGAAAGAGATGAAGAAAAAGAAACAGGAAACAAAGAGCACATTGTAGATCAGATTTAACTTTTAAACCAGGAAAGACAGATAATAAGAAACAGGAAGCAAAGAGCACATTGTAGATTAAGCTTTAAGCCTAATCTAATGTGCTTTTTGCATTCTGTTTCTTGTCTTCTGTCTTTTTCTGGCTTAAAGCTTAAAACCTGATCTACAATATGCTCTTTGCTTCCTGCTTCTTTCTCTTTATCTCTTTCTAACTCAAACCTTAAACTTTGACCTTAAGCTAGAAAAAGATAGAAGACAAGAAACAGAACATAAAGAGCATATTGTAGATCAGGCTTAAGGCTTTAAGTCAGAAAGAGATAAAGAGAAAGAAGCAGGAAGCAAAGGACACATTGTAGATCAAGCTTAAAAGTCGATGAATTCCAGAAGAGACAAGAGAGAGAGATATATATGTGGCAAAGTACACAATCGCCGGTAAAACAGTACATTGAGAATTAAAGAGACGCAAGAGATGAAAGTAGAAAACTGAAAGCAAAGAGCACATTGTAGATGAGGCTTAAACTTAATCTACAATTTAAAAGTCTTTGCTTCCTGTTTCTTGTTTTCTATCTTTTTTTTCTGGCTAAAAGCTTTAGGCTTAAGTCTGATTAAAGGCTTTAGGCTATCAGGCTGTAGGCTCTTAAATAAAGAGAAAGAAACAAAGGAAGCGAGCAGCACATTGTAGATTTGAACTAATGCACGCGATCGCGGACATCGCCGTAGGCGAAATCGCACGAACGGCTGCCGCCGATGATTCCCTCCCTTCGACATCGCGATGTTGTATCTCGCACTTATTTAACCGTCGTCGATTGAGAAATAGGACGAGCTAATGCCGCGCTACGTTCACGGTACATTCACTTCTCAGGATAAGGCCGGTTATTCTCGCGCGCTCTGGAGGAAGATAAACACGCCTTGAACTTATGTAAGCGCGGCATCGGCAATTTCAGGATTCTTGGCAGTATCTTATGTTTATCCAAATGCATCATCTCTTGGAAGAACGTCCATTTAAGGTGTTCGTATCGTGAAACGAGTTGCGTGAGAATTTGTTGAGAGACTTTGCGTTGTATGCACGGTGAAATATTATATAACTGTTCGTGCGATTAGAAAAAGAGATCGCCTATTCGAGAACTGGGATGTTTGCAATTAAGATGAAATACTGTTTCTACATGTTTCTTGAGGCCGCAGCATATTATTTTCAATTTCTATTTTTAATATTTTCTAAACTAAATGCGAGATTTTGATGAAAAACTATTGTGATGTTAAGAGCTAATACACAAACATCATATACAAATTTCAGAATTATTGACCATTTTGTTTTCAACAGAGAGCGGTGGAAAGTTCGTAATTTATAGTAATACTCGAAATACATATACGTATATTTAAATACTTGTGTATATCTTTCTACTATCTGTACGTCGTCATTCGATAAATAATGCATAAAAAATTATTTATTCGATAAACTCGTTATTCGATAAATAATGCATAAAAATAAAGCACCCTTCAGAAAAATAAAAATAGTTTTCCCGCGTCTGTAATATTGTGTATGTGTATTTATCTCAATTTCGTGTCAAGTTAACATTGATATTTAGATAGTTATTAGAAATAATTATATAGAAGCGTGATTTTGTTTTTGATAAATAGCAAATTTACGAGTGGGCCCCGTTGATGCGCTTCTGAAGATACGGCACTTGACGGTATAATTACATTAAAGTCCAAACACGTGACACCGAACAGACGTTTGTACATTTCTGCGCGTAAACCAATTGTCCGTCTCTTCCCTCTTTCCCCGTACATCGTTAATCACCCGCGCACGTGGTCTTCACATTCCCATGCACTTGTATATCTTTCCCGCACATGCAACAACCGTATGACCGTATTGATAAACATCTTTATTTATATAAGAAACGATAAATCTCCTTGTAAGTTAAATGCGTCACTTTCAGACTCAAGTCTAACTGTCAAACGTGTGTTTCAGTGAAATGTCTAGTAAGTGCATGGACGAAAGCCTGGAGGAAGGCTCTAGGCTGCAACAGCACTATTGTATAACGCTGGGCGTGGGGCCTCTGTGGTGGTCCTGATGTGCCCCATGCCGCATTGTCTGTATCTACAGTCAACACAGAGAGCCGCGGCGTGGGGATCAAGCAGAGTCAGCTCTCTGTGAGCTCCCGCATTGTGCAAGTACGTATCTTTCTTCTGCCTTCCGGCCGACCGATCAGCAGTCGGCCGATAACTCTCACGAGATCGCGGATGCGAAGCAGAGCGAATCTCTCTCATCTCGAGAACGGGCAAAGCTAATTCGACACGTTTGCTTGTATGCCGACACACACACACAGGAGGATGAATTGTTGAAAGCTGTGAGAAGCAACGAACCATTGCGTCTAACGTTCACCCTCCACTTGACCGAGAGTACGTCCGTCGAGTGGGAGACCGTAGCGTGGCGCCGTTGTCTATACATTCGCGTACCGAGCTGCCTTCTGCCCGAAGGATCAAAAGAGGGCTTCGTCTCCCTTTTGGAATACGCCGAGGAAACGTTGCGCTGCACCAATATCATCGTTTGCCTGCGTAAAGATAGATCTGACCGAGGTACTTGTCGCTTGCCGTTTTTCGGTACGAACGAAGACTTCTGCGTCGAGAAAGACTCACCCGCTAAATCGTTCTGTTGTTATGGTCTAGCAATGCTGGTTCGTACCTTCATGTTCTTGGGCTTCACGGTCCTGCCGCCGACTCATGCCTTGGTACCGCCAGGCAGTGACGCGGGCAATCTCTACATGCTCTATGCCATCGAGTAATCGGCAAGCAGCTCGGCACCTCTCAAATTTAACGCGCAGGTACTGACGCAAGGAGAAGGCAAATTCATACACACATATACACACACAAAAGTTGCGGTTTCCTTTACTAATTGGCTTATCGGTTAACCGACCAACCATTTTTCCGTTCGCTTCCACACGCTTCTCTCGTGTGTTTCCGTGAGTTTATTATATGGTTTCTCATGTCTGATTTCGTTTTTATTTAGATTTCCTTTGATTTTATTTCAGGTACAGTCGTAAACGAGTTTAAGGTAAAGTACTGGAGAAGGCACGCCTGGAGAGAGGAACGATTCAATGCACTTTTCTTTTGTATTTTAAGTTTCTTTGTATACTTACGTTTTTTTTTTTATCAGAGATAAAAGGGGCTTTTTCTATTTTTGTTACGATTTTTTACGAGAAGAAATGTAGAGGAACTCTATGCGTGAAAAAGGACTCATGTCAGTCGATCACACCGGGTAACACCTTGGCGTTAAATTTCAGAGGCTTAACGGAACAAAAATATAGTCGCGAATACGTAGAGAACGCGTACATAAAAGGCTTTCGATGGGTATATCGATTCATTCTCTTGAGCACAATGTTAATAACTCTTGTAAGAGCATATAAGCTGCTGACAAAGCTTCCCACGTGAAGGAATTTGACGGAATTTGTTACTGTGCACTAAGAACTGTATTTAGTGACAAGCCGTCAAATTTTAGAGAAAATTTATTATCGACAAATCTCAATGTTAATTGTGGCAGATTGGGTATCACCGTATTATTATTATTATTATTATTATTAATATTATTATTAGTAATGTAGTACATTTTCTTATATTATTTGTAAGTATTATCAACATGTATACTATATGATTACATTTAATGTCTGTTGTGCGAATATCGGTAAAATTCACCCAGTGAATTCAATCGCTTTCCAGCCTTCCATTAAAGATTGCATTGTGACATATCAGTTGACATATACATACTTCGTGAAAACGATGTAATTATTCTTTCTTTATAGTTGCGCAAATAGTGATGTATCCCGCGGATTAAAAAGACCAAGCAAAGATGCAAAACCATCGGACAGAAATAAGATTCTGTCCATTAAAATCAATAGAGCCGCAAGATCAAACTAAAAACGTCACAAATATCACTTCATATCATTGCCGGATATTCAAAACGATATATTTTGTGCAAATATCTTAGCAATTAATAATTGGAAGGTACTAGATTATTATAAAACTTATTTATCGTTATAATCCTTTTATTATCGTTATCGTCTTATTAACTTTTTTGTTAATGGTAGATTCTTTAGATATAAGTGATAGTATATTAGGTAATCCCCAATCAGTTAACATTGGAGAGATCTTGCTAATAAATGAGTTCTTTAGTGTTGACTTGATAACAGACAACATGAAAAATATAAAAATGCAAAAAAAAAGTGAAAAAATGTCGGAAAGAAACAAAAAAAATGTGTTAATAGCTTATTAGTAAATAGGTAAAGATAAGTACAGAGTGACGGACTATTGTATGTTAACTTCACACGCAAATAATTATCAACTTGCCTCAAGTTTTTAAATTGATAAATAATTCCGTGCGTTTTATCCCGTCAGTTAGTATTATATATTCGTACCTCTGACCACATATGAAAAATGGATATGTATGCTACGTTTCTTATTCATACATGAAGACGTATATAATTGCTAAATAAACATTTAATAAAACCCTTCATATTGTTACTCCTTTGTTTACCAGAAATGTTTACTTTGACCATTATCTGATTAAACATTGAATTCTAGGTGATGGTTGAAAATAAAACACGGAGTATGCAAGCACTTTTGTTTAATATAATACCCTTATGCACACATAATGTAATCACAAGATAGACTAATTCATATTACTATGTAGTTATTTTTGACATCAAGTGCATATAAAATACAACATTAGTTTTACTGCTAATTACATAACATAAAGAACACTTTGCTTTATACATGATGATTCTTATGTGCAAAATGAATTCAAATTTCTTAATGCCATAATATACATTTTTTTTCTTAGAACATTAATATACAAAATAATGAATAATTATTTATGCCTCTTACCTAGTTGTATTTTGCTTTAAACACGCCTTTTTTTATATATAAGTTATAAAATTGACAGTTGTGCAAACGAAAACAGTTTTTTATGTGAAAATAAATCTTCCTAATAATTTTTCCTAAAATTTTCCAAGTTTCTATTTGTTTTTAAAGCTTCTGAGTATTCGCCGCGCGAATACCATGTTGAATTGTAACATCAGAAGAGCGAGATACTGAAAATTCTTTGCATTTAAAAATAAAAAGATATTTATATGAAAGAACACTTCAGATTGCTTGAGCTTGTAAAATGTTCCAAAAACTATCCTTTTCTTTTGATAGTCAATAAATAGCCATAAAATGAATGTAACAAAATCGTGAAGAAAGATAGGTTAGAAAAGAAAATTACTTATCTCATTAATTTTACGGCTATTTATTAACTATCAAAAGATAAAGATAATTTTTTATAGTACATTTTTAAGTATACTTAAGTGATTATGACATGTAAGAATTTTTGAGTTTTTTCGTTTCTGACGTCGTCAATCAAAAATTCCGCGCAAGAATACTCAAAAGTTTTAATAAATTATTAATTAAGAAATTAATAACACAAAGCTTATTCTTCATAGGAAGCTATCTCTTTCCGATTACATTATCCCAATTTTATTATGTTCCATACACCACGATATAAGAAATTAGATTAATAATTAGATTAAAAGATTATATTTATTCTGATGTGATTAATGGTTTTCACTGATGAGTTCCAAGAAACATTTAAATTTAATACGCAACACATAATAATTAAACCTCAACGATATAACGAATTAGATATTAAATAACAAGAAAAAATTTTGGATTTTGTTCGGAAAGAAGCAATTTATGTTTAAATAGAATTTTAATGTAATCTGTTTAATCAATTTAACTTTACAAAGCTGGAAAACTGCTTTTGAAAAAGATGAATACATATACTTCTATATTTCAGTCTAAAAACAAGTCATATGTATGTGTGTGTGTGTGTGTGTGTGTGTATATATATCTCTCTCTTTTTTAGCAGTTTCACATTTGTCTATATACCACTTCACAATTAAATTACATGTTAAATCTAATTGTATGAATTAGATGTCTCGTATGTCAGCTTTCTATAATTAATTTAAAGAACGCAAGAGTTAAACGATTGAAGAAGTAAAAAGTTACTATAGTTAAAGATGTTTAACACACTTCAGGAGCTGTTTTCGGAACTAATCCTAAACTATCTAGCATACCAGAGGATGTTGAGTCTTCCACCGGATATGCCGATATCCTATTACATTTTATCAAATGTGTTGCTGCAACATGATATTGATTTTAATTAATTTCTTGGTTGATAATATACAGGATGCTAAATTTCAAACGTAACAAGTCAAATATCTCAAAAACTAAATGATATTAAGGTCCGTTCTTTTTAGGTTGTATTATTTAGGTTGTATTTAGGTTGTATTATATCTCGAAAGGGACATAATTTGATAAAATAAAATTTGATTTTGGGTGGAAGTGCTATGGTAAAATTAAGATCAGTGTTTTTTTTTTTTTATGGAATAAAAACATATTCTCTATTGTTTTGAACACCTACGTTTGTAACTCTTGTCACGATGATTACATTCAGTCCATATCCACTTACACCAAGCATTAACATAGGAAAATCATAATAGAATTTTGCTAATGGATTTTATGCTAGTATGAACAGAAGAAACGTTAAGTTTATTAAGTTGTATTAATAAAGTTTTCGAGTCATTCTTTCCGTTACTTGATCTTTAATCATCTTGGGTATGTGATCATTGTATTCATCGTGACAAGGACTACAAACGTAAGTGTTCAAAACAATAGAGTTCCATAAAAAAAAATACTGACCTTCATTTTACCTTAGCGCCTTCACCCAAAATAAAATTTTGTTTTATCAAATTGTACGCCTTTCGAGATATAATACAATCTTTTATTTTACAACAAAAAGAACAGACCTTAATATCATTTAGTTTTCGAGATATTTGACCTGTTATATTTGAAATTTAGCACCCTATATATCTCATCTCTGTTCTCTCTATAATCATACAATACCTAATTGATTGCCGTCAGTCGATGTGTAACCACACGGACACTGCAATTTCTTTCCTAGCGGTATGTTGATCAGAGGAGACGGCACGACCAAACTGGTCTTTGGTCTTTCGTTGTGAATTTGCTGTTGATGTTCCTTGAAAGCGCGCCAACAACAGGTGACGTAACGACATTGTGAACATTGCTGTTCGCCTCTGTTGATGAAATAATTTGTATAATATCTGCAAAACTGTCAGCTAAAATCGACTACTTACGGGTAATGATCTTCCTCGTCGATGTCCTCTTCACATTCCTGACAAGGTAAATGACTGACAGATGTGTTTACTGTAATTGGTCCAGTATTCCATCTTTGTATCTTTTCATCAGGCGGTAACTCCGGAAGTGGGCTACCTACGTCAAATCGTTTCGCCTCCGGTCGCTCTTTCAAAATCATTATTCCACTGCTGCCAGCCGTGTACGGTATCACTTCTGTACATATTTATTTATTTTAATGTTAAATTTACCAGAACTATTAGCTTTTGTGCAACGTGCTAAAAGTATATTCATGAGAAAAGATTATGAAACATGAGCAAAGAACACATTGCATATCAGTCTTCCATCTAAATTTTTTTTTCATGTTCTTGAAGTGTGACATATGTGCATATTTTATCAGGCGTTTAATTAAATATACACTATGCCACTTATCAAAATACATAATATATATTTAAATGTATATTTACTTGAATTAGATACACAGTCGTGTAACTCTCTTTGATGCATCGTTAACAAGCTCTTTTGGTTAAACCAAAGGCAACATCTGGAACATTTGTTACCTCTTCCTTGATCCCTTCTTACAATATGTCTTTGCATGTGCGATAAATAAGCGTAAACGCTGGATACACTCGGGTTGCCCTCGCTCGCAAATTGTATTACCTTTTACAATAACAATATTTGTTTAATTTACATTGATCCGGAAATACATTTTCTTTGCCATTTTTACCTTTAGACAGTAAGGACATTGCAATCCTTCGCCTTTCTCGTGGACTTTGTAATAATGATCTATAACGTCCTTATGACTCGACGTCCGATAACCGCAACTTTCGCATCGATAGGGCATTTCGGAAGGATAATGCATTGAGGACAAGTGGTCGATTAACGACTTACATTTTCCTGCAGAAAAAGATGAACAAATGAAAATTTTGCCCTTTGCAATCAAAAGTATTAAATCTTGTTGTTTTAAATTATGAGTATTTCAGCAGTGAGCAGTAAAAGCGATTAGGGGTGCACGCTTACCGAATTTTTCCTCACAAATGGCACAAACCACCATGACGCCGTCAGAATGACCGAAATTGCTGTGCGTTTCCAACACGTGAGTAAGCATCTGGTGTTGCGACGAAAGAGCGGTGCAACAGTAACGACAAACCGACAATTCCGATTGACCGGGCACTTTGGGAGGTACATGACAAATCATGTGCTCCATCACTTCTGTGTTAGAGTTCATTACCGCCGTGCACAGGAAACACTAAGCCAAAAACACACATTTCTCATTAGTGCTCAGTGATAATACGACAATAAATTTTATAGACAAACCTTGAAATGCAACAAAGACTTGTTCTCCTTCAAAATTAATTCTTTGTCACCTTCCATTGTAGCGTAATATAATTCTTGAAGCTGAATTTGTTCTTTCGGTTCCTTCTCGCCTTTATTCTCTTTCTCCTTTTCTTTATTATTCTTGGGTTCGGTCATAGTCCTTTTCGGCTCGGGTTCTAAACTTGTTATAGGATGAATGCGTTTTCTTCCTCGTTTTAAAACGGGTTTCAACAGTACCATTTCGGGGGAATTCGTATCCTGAGATGCATCAGCTACATCGGTTACATCGCTATATGTTGGAACTGAATCGTTCGGCAACGTCGGCGTAGTAGATCGTGGACTTGTGTAAGACCAATTAAAAAATGGATTAGCGGCTACCTTGGCCAGTCGATCTAACAAGGACTCGTCTAAAAAGATAAATGTAAAATTGAGCATGTAATTAGAAGGTGAATTGTCGCATTTGCACAAAACGACAATGCTATGATTCTATTACTCACTGATATCAAGTTTAGTTTGCTCGGAGATATGCACGATAATGTTGTTAAATGCACGTGCCGGTGTAGCGCCATACATTTCCCTCCATACTAATTCGTCTAGAAATTGCTGAATCATTTGTCTACTGAGTAAACTAAGCGTATTCTGGAACATTCTGGGTACAATTCTTCTAAGGTATTCCATGATATAGTAATTGCTCATGAGATTTCTTGGATTTTGCTCGGAAAATGCAGATTGTATAACGTTTCTGTAACCCATGTCTAATAAGGTACTTTTGTCCACGGTGAAATCTGTCATGATCTGAGAGTCTGTGTGAACCCATTCTTTCAGCGGATTTAAGATATTATTAAATCGACGTTTATACGATCTCTCTCCATCATGCATTGGCTCACAAGCGCGCAAACGTAAGTCTGATGTAGAAGGATCCAAGACACCAAGAACCTCCACTTTTACCTAAAAAAGATAAGAATACAAAATTTATCTTCATGCAAATAAATTTTTCGCTTCGACAATAATAGAACATTAAGACAACATTTTACCTGTCGCATATGCCCATCCTGCGATGTGGTGCCTAAACTGATTACACCAACTTGTATCACGGAGTTTCTGCCTCCCATCTTACGACTCTTGTCCCAAATCGCCACTGTACAGATGCTGCGTATATTAGTATAAAAATTTTTTAAATATAAGTTTGTAACTTTCACCCAAGAGATCACATTTTGTACATTGGTCTGACACGCCCAATGATAAATTAGCTTCAACAGGACTGTAGGTGTGTATGGAGCCCCTTGAAAGATAGAACCAGAGAAAACGGAAACGTATCTATCTGGACAACAGCTGGCTATCCAGACGTAACCACCGGAATAGGGAAATGTTCCCTGATCAGTGTACATCCCCAGCTTTAGCTTAGGCTTCTGATGGACAGTGTGTAGCGTACAATATTGCTCAGATCTCACTAGGCCTTGCTGGATTAACCATTCGGCGAATTTCGTGGCGTTAAACATAAGCACACTTTTAACTTTAACATCTAAAAAATTTGTCAATATTCCAAACTGCTTAGTGTTATATAGCGTGTTCAATAAATTGTGATACAATCAGTAAGGGAATAATTCCTTGCAAAAAATATAAATCAAAGTGTATATATATATATATATATATATATAATATATATATATATATATATATATATATATATATATATATATATATATATTTAAATGTTATTCTGAAACATTATCGAGTTTACAAAATTCAAAGGACACAAGATTATTCGTTATTATTCTTCTATTTCCGACAGTTCTTCTTCTTTTGCAAGATATAATTTCTTCTTCTGTTGTACTACGATTTACTGAACGCATCACCTCGTCATATATTGATATAAAAGCAAACTAAAATGATATACCTAATTCCGATCTTTCTTTCTGCGTAATCTGTGGACTGATGTCTTTGTTATGTAAATTTGGCCTTGCTACCACTACTAGAGAAGGATAAGTTCGACCACCAGCTGTCTTATTAAACGTGAATTCTCTTCCATCAGGTTGATTCCTCTTAGTCTCATCAATCTGTTCAGAAGCTATAAAATATTTTATACTGAGTTAATTAACTGCATTACTAAAAATACTTGATTCTTAAAAATAGATATATTGCAATTTATATTTCTACCTGCAGTTTTGCAGCCAACAGCTATTCCCCCTATACTAGTATGCTCTGCAGGTTTGACAGTTGATTGATTTATTTGCTGTTTATTGACGGTCTTTATCCTGAGATTTGTTACACCTTGTGGGGTGGTAGTAGCTGCAGGACCAATATTGGATTTTTTTGTTAGTTAAAAGCGTCAAACGACGTTAATTAGGAATGAAAATATATGTATATAATTTTTAAGTACATGATAATATATAAAATCTAAAAATATTATATTATCCTTACTTGGTGTAACAACATGTGTTGGTCCAGACTTTGATCTTACGCGATTGATTGTTGAGGTCTACCGAAAATAAAATAACATACATAACTTACTGATTACAACAAAAATTACAAACGAATATAGCTGCATTTATGAATCATGATTGTGTAGAATATACCTCTTCTATGATTTCAGGTTGTTGCACTTGAAAAACTTTTGTCTTACGTCCAGATCTAGTATACTTAAGCTGACAAAAATATTAATATATGATTAGTATTTAGCATAAAGCTCAGTTACGCAATAAAAAAATACAAACATAATTGACAATACATTTTCTTGTTGAGTCTGTGTAGTGGATGAAGATGTGGCGGTGGCTGTAGTTGGTGCGCCTGAAATAACATTTATTTTTTACCAATTGTTAACTTTACTTTAATTATAAATAATATAGTGTGCTACCTTGAGCTTGTGTGACAGGCCCTAAAAGAACTCCCATTGATCGTGGATCAACAACTAATTGAATATTTCCTTGAGATGGATTTGTATTTGCAATATTCAATTTGATCGGTTGATTCTTGTTTTGAGTCTAGAGACAAAAATTATATAGAATCTTTTAAAATTATATAGAATTTATTATATTTATCCTCTGAAATTATATAGAATTTATTATATTTTTCTCTCTCCTTATATACTGTCTCTCCTCTATAATACTTACAACATTTAAAATTTGAGGATTATTCTGAATTACTGCTGGTGTTGTTGATGTGGGTCTACAAATAAATTTAAATGCAAATTAAGTATATATTTTGTACTATGATCGTTACTTTAAGATTAGATACTTACAATGTATACTGGTAACCACTAACAACTCCAGCTTGACATACTAATTTACCTCCATGTACTGCAACTAGCTCTTCTAAGGTAGCTGCAACCTGACAAAAAACAGTATATAATCTTAATGTTGATATAAAAAAAGCAATTAACATAAGAAGAAGTTACCCTATCAATATTATCCTTGAGTTTTGTTTTTGACACCAGTTGTGCTTCACTCAGAGGTTCCTCATTGCACTCCAAATTGAGTGTCATATTAACTGGACGAGTGTTTGTAATTGAACGTGCAAACAACCGCGTTTTTGGCATTTTGGCTTGTTTTTCTGTTGTTCCTGTTTTTCAGTACCGGCATCAGGGATTAATGCATGAGATTAATCAGCCAGTTCAGCCTTGTTCCAAACATAACATGAGGAATACATAGTGGCATCAAGAAATACAAAAATGCATATAAGTACAATATTTTATCCATATTTACTCTCAATTATCATACAAAGAATTATCAAAAGAGAATAATCAAAGAGGGAATGCTCTATCGCGACATTCATTATTGTAAAAAACAGAATTTTGTACAATATATAAATTGAGGTTGAATGTTCCCACCATATATAAGAAGACATGTCTCCCAATATCACGGTCCCCACCATTAGCCTACTACCGTCGCTACTGTCTGTCCCAAAAAGAAACGACCAGCCATCCGGCGTCGATTGACGCATGGTAGAACGGAGCGGTACTATGTCGTATATACTACATAGCTAGTTTTATCTGTTGCATGTATTTATGTGAAATGGTAGTTTTGTAGGTCAACAGAATGGGCAGACCTAATAACGTATAAAAATAATCTATCAATAGACTAACCTGCTAACACCCGGCAGCGAGGTAACAAAACTCGCGACGCTCGCGCGACTCGCGATAATCGGACTAGAGGACGCCAGTGATGTGTGGCCACGAATCGTTTGTTCCAGGCTTTATCACGAAAAATTAACTGGTTGTGTGATACAGGCATTCTAACGTATATGCAACTGATGTAGCTATTACGGCAAAATTGCGACTAGCGAATCGCAGAATAGGATAGTAGCCGCGAATTATGAAATCATGGATGAAATAATATACATAGGCTTTTATTCTGAGCTGTTTTTTATTGATAAAAATATCTTTAAAACATGCTTATAAGCTAATCAGAAGGCTGATAAGCATTGAATATATATAATTAGAACGAATGCTAGGATTGTCTGTGCGGGATGAGAGAACATGTTTGGATAATGCTTTGGCCCATATTCTGAACCCTCTTTTATCGATAAAAATGCCTTGAATATAGCTTCTCAGCCAATCAGGTGGCTCTTAAGGGCGCCATCCAACGGAGCGGAAATTTTCAACGGAACGGAACGTGCGATTAGTTAGCACGACCAATCACAGCTGTTCCGCTTTTCTTCTGGCGCTTTTTCTATTTTCCTTGTGTCCCATGGAGCGGAATACGCGGAAGTGGATTACGCGGAATAATACAAAAAGTAGACTTTTGAATGTTATTTCTTATGTTTTTAATAATTTTAATAATATTTTATACAAATGATATAATATATGATAAATTAGTAAAGAGTAAATTAGTTTCTCAGTAAAATACTTTTTATATGCAACTATTTTACGATTGGCTAAAACGTAATTCCGCTGCCGCGTTTACCGCTTCATGGGACAGAAGGAAAACTACATCAGCGGAATTGCGGTGATACATTATGCAGTATAATAAAGTGAGATCTGTTGTGATTAATTATGGAGAATATATTATGTGATTTTTGTCGACTGTGGTTGTTAATTAAACATATAAACATATAAACATATAATCATATTCACATATTATATATAATTTACTATATATAGTTTACTACAATTATCAAAATATTAACATCTTATTATTTACGATCCCTCCACTTATCATTTCTAAACGAAATAATAAAAAATGTCGAAAAAATATATATATAATAAATGTATAAAAAATGTATAAGAAATGTATAAGAAATGTATAAGAAGCAAATGAGATATGTAAGATACGTTGAGGTTATCTGCCACTATCTTTATTCTTTCCGTAAAATTACAGCGGTAAGATTATAACGAAACGGCCCAAAAAAGAGCGGAACGGCTGTGATTGGTCATATTGGTTCCGCGTGTTCTGTTCCACGGAGAATTTCCGCCCCATGGGACGTCAGCCTAAGCCTCTTTTAGAGGTACTTTTATAGATAAAAGAGGATCGAGAATATGGGCCTTTGTCTTTATCTATTTTTATCGATTATATTGTAAAGACCGGTTTATGATGGCCGTAAAGCTGGCCACACACACTTTGCGTAAGTCCCGATCTACAATAGGTGCAGTAAGTTTTAAACCGTAAGAAATTAACCAATCACAATTGATTATTCCTCTATAATTCCACTGTGATTTGTTAATTTCTTAAAGCTTAAAGCTTACTACACCTATTGTGGCTCGGGACTTACGGAAAGTGTGTGTGGCTAGCTTAAAACTGTTCTACAATACGTCATATGTCGCTGTCGTATGTTGGAGTGCAGCCAATGGGCCAATCAGAGGATTTTTTTTCGAGACGAATTTTCTTGATTGGACCATTGATTGCGTTCCGACTTTGACATACGACGTATTGTAGAACCGACCTAAAAGTGCCTTTACATGGAAGCATCGAACGTCGAGCGTTAAAACGGTAGCCAATCAACGTGCCACTTTCCGCAAAAACTACAAGTATACTTCTGGGATCTGATACGTTGATTGGCTAAAGTTTTAACGCTCGACGCTCGGACGCTTCTATTTAAAGATATCTTAAGATCCTGCACAAGGCCTTAGATGACAGAACATAGGGCATTCGGAGTCCATGTATACTACGTCCATGACTATGTCCATGACACATACTCTTGCATAAAGGCATAATGCTCACGCATAAGAAATTTGAGCAATCAGAATTCTCATTTCTATTGCCACAATGAAAATGAAGGACTCTGATTGATCAATTTTCTTATGCGTTATGCCTTTATGCAAGAGTGTGTATTTCCCGCTTAAGGGCTATCGCACACAATTGACATAACTGCATATGCATAGCATAAGATCGTATGGACCAATGAGCATCGAGTATTAAGTCGCCATATTGGTGTTCGATGCTTAATATTCGATGGTCATTGGTCCATACGATCTTATGCTATGCATATGCAGTTATGTCAATTTGTGTGCGATAGCCCTAAGGCTGCGTTCGGAAAACGTCATCCAAGTGTACTCGTTGCGTTGGAGTGAGCGAGATACAAAAGCGAGATAAAAAGAGAGGGAGAATATTCAAGTAACGTTTTCGAACATAGCCTATGGCTCCTGCATTAAAATAGCATAATCTATTCTACAAACTTGTGAAATGCGTTTCAGATACTTCCCTTTTGTCCAAATAATTACTAGATAATCGCAAATAACAAATATTTAATAACCACAGAATTAATATGAAATAAATCGCTTCATTTCGATAAAAAATCAGCTGTGTGACTCGCTGTTGAATATAATCGAATTTATAAATTTATATTATTAAAAATTATAAATTTCAAGTTTATAAAATTATAATAACAACTTATATTTATTAAATATCATAATAAGCACAGTATCCGAAACATTTCCATAATGGCTCCTATACACAGGACGCGGTAATGCTTGCTGCGCGGCGGAAGATCACGCGACAGCCAATCAGTATACTGCTTTCCGTAATAATCTTCTAGCTCTTACGGAAAAACAACATACTAATTGGCTGTCGCGCGGTCTTCCGCCGCGCAGCAAGCATTACCGCGTCCTGTGTGCAAGAGCCATTATGAAGATGCTTCGGATACTGTGCTTATTATGATATTTAATAAATATAAGTTGTTATTATAATTTTATAAACTTTAAATTTATAATTTTTAATAATATAAATTTATAAATTCGATCATATTCGACAGCGAGTCACACAGCTGATTTTTTATCGAAATGAAGCGATTTATTTCATATTAATTCTATGGTTATTAAATAGTTATTTCGGTTTATTAAATAATCATTAGCGGTTATCTAGTAGTTGTTTGGACAAAAGGGAAATATCTGAAGCGCATTTCACAAGTATGTAGAATAGATTATGCTATTTTAATAATATATCTTGTTATGTAGCTGTGGTTCACAGGAATTTTGAGTAGGTTTTCCTCGCTTGACGTCATCAATCCAATATGATCGCGTTAACGGTTGATCAGAAGCTTCACGGTTTAATCGATATTGATAGAAACGGACATTAGGATCACTTTTATCGATAAAAGAATATCCAAAATAAGAACTTTTACTATGCTGATCTTTCGGAAAAAATATAGAGAAGGAAGAATTAAGGAACAAGAATTAAAAAATTTTCTTCACGAATATGCATAAAGGGAACCATATTACGATAGCATTTAAATATTAGTTATATGTTTTAGTTATTTTTTTACAAAGTTTCACATAAAAAACGAATATCTTAAATATAAAGTAATTAACAAAGACGGAAAATACAAATAACTTATATTTAAGAAGACAATAGTTATATATTACGCAACTTTTTGTAACCACTTATTTAATTCTTCGATATCTATTGCTGTTTGCGGGTCTTTGTTAAAGGCATAGGAATTTGCAAAATCGATTTGCGAGTCCAGATGTGAAAATTCAAAATCTTTGCCTTGCTTCCCAAGGAAGACGTTAACCAATGATGCGTCAGTAGTCTCTAATTGACTAGTTTTTGTCATTCGTAGTAAATTCATCTCCTTTTCTAATAGCGTCTTTATCACTGCACACCCTTTGGCCATGACTTGATCTTGTTTATTGCATAATATAAGAACTGGGATGTTCTTCTGTATACAAGGATCTGACAATAAATTGTACAAATACCTGCAAGAAGAATGACCACACACATGCACAGATCATATAAATATAAGATATCTATACTTAGAAATATTTATATATACTAAAATTAATATTTCAAAGTTATACAAGATATATTAGTGGTAATTTGAGGTTTGTTACTCACTCTGCCACATCCCTAATCTCTTTTTGAATAGTCACTGAGTCAATCACATAAACCAAACCCTTAGCAGATGATTTGTACTTATCAAAATATTTACTGCGCAATCGCTCGTCTCCTGGAATATCCACTATTCTCAAAGAATTCTAAAACAAACAATGTCTATGAAAATATGTAATTCTCTGTAATAAACACATCTTATATAAAAGGCTAGTTTATAGCAGTATTGTTAATGTGTTTCTGGCAATGTTACCAACAAGTGTAGATCATCTCATTTAAAATTGCTGGAAACAATTACATGCAACAAGTTATAAAATAAGTTATAAAATAAGTTAACCATATTTTGCTATTAACTTTATTATTTTGGACTGAAAAATACTAATATTTTGTAAAAAATAAATATTATTAACAAAAATTACTTATTTTAGTGATTTATAGATAGCTATGTCACCCTGATATTTTCAAAAATATTATTTCTACAATCCATCACTTTCTAACTTTATTGAAAACATCCAAGAATATCATTTTTGCTAACAACATTGATATTAGCAGTTTAATTGTATATAGTTGTGTATATATGTCAGTAACATTTGTATTTTCTATATTGCTAAAAGCATACTTTGTTAATTTTTGTTTCATTTAAATTGTCTTCTGGAGAATAGTTTTTGCTATTAATATTGTTACTGCTAGTTTGGTATAAACTGGCCTTAAGATATATTCTTACATCATTAATTGTGATGTCCCCTATGTTTTCCTTAACAGATGTGTATGTCTTCACAAATTTAGAACATATTAATCTCGCATAGATTAGAGTTTTTCCAGTATCACTGAGACCTGTCAGAAGGATGCCTTGGCCTGCAGACTTCCTCTTGCGCCAAAATACAAACAAGACTGCAAATATAATTATATTAATTAAGAAATAATACAAAGAAATCAACTTTATATATAATGGGGTAAATTATAGATAAAAATGATCAAGGAAATTTAAATTATATATTATTTGCTAGTAGTAACATAATCAACACTGATTGTCTATAAGGTAAAATATATGGTGTATAAAAATAAAAGAATTAAAACTATTCTTTCGTGAATTAGAAAATATTGCGGCAACTCTAAAGATGTTTAAAAACATAGTAAAATCATGCTGAAATATTATACGACCAAATTAATGTTGTAAATATTGTATTGCCCGACGCGATAACCTAAAAATAGAAAAAGCGTTTACCTAAAGTTATGATAATAGCAAAAACAGCAACCAATATTCCTAGTAGCTGTGAATTGCTACTTTGTTCTAATAACAGTTTTATCTGCTTCTCCATTGTAATTCAGTATTATCCGAAATCTGACGATTCCTCGTGGACATACACAGCCATATGCTGACAATGCGAAACTACCAGGATAATCGAATAATAGACTGTTCTTTTCATCTACATTGGGATTTTACTGCAACGAAAGTAGAATATGTGAAATAAAAAAGTTCTTTAATTTACTATTACATTGTAAAACAGGAAGAAAAAAGCTTTTTAATTCGCTATTGAGTTGTAAAACTCAAAAATAAGATGCCTGATCAGTCATTGAGTTACTCTATTTGTAAAATAAGTGTCTTTCACGTGCCATGTTATACTGGATGCTTTCCAATTGCGTATTACACAAAACCAGTTTATTGGTTGCATATTATCTTACAAGATATTTTAGATAATATGTGACTAATAAACTGGTTGTGTACGTGTGTGTCAAGTATGTTAAGCAATTGGAAAGCATTCATTATTAGTTAGTCCCGAGTCACAATAGGTGTAGTAATTGGCGTATGGGGATAACCTTTTCCCCCGGAGCCATTACAAAACAGAACAGAATAGGTATAGTAAGCTTTAAGCCTTAAGAAATTGACCAATCACAATCGATTATTCTCCTTAAATTTGACTGTGATTGGTCAATTTCTTAAAGCTTAAAGCTTGCTACACCTATTGTGGATCGAAACTTATTATATTATTATATTATCGAATTATACTATTTGAAGGTAAAGAATTTTCTGATTTGTTGTTGTATTGTAAAAATCGATAATAAAAAATATTTTGGTTTAAGTCATAAACATAAAAAATAAAAACAGATTAGGGCCTTATTCTTTTGCCATATACGACGAGTATCAATTCAATGGCCCGTATTCTAAGTTCTCTTTTAACGGTAAATGAGCCTCTAAAAGAGGCTTAGGAGCCACCTGATTGGCTGAGAAGCTATATTTAAGGCACTTTTATCGATAAAAAGGGTTTAGAATATAAGCCAATGTGTCATTGCGCAGCTATTTTAAATGATTATATCTGCACAACGATATAAACTGGACCGATAATTGTCGGTACACGTAAACGGAACAGAGTCTTTTAGCATGTTCGACTGGCTCTGCGTTAACCGGGAGCGGTGCACTTGGACACGGTGCATTTGGACACAACCAATCACAGCACCGTGTGATTAGAGACATTTGTAGGGTCCCTTGGAACAGCGACTTGTGATTGGACTGTGTCCAATTGCCCCGTGTCCAACTGATATACACCCGCGTTAACCCACTCTGGGTTATTCAGCCTACGTTTATTGGTCGAACAAGTACTTATAAGCTTTATGATTGGCTAGTAGAGACTTATGACGTCATTAATCACTCTAGGAGCGATTAACCCAGGGTCAGTCAAACACGCTATTTCTTATAGTTCCTAACGAAAAATCGAAGTAGTAGTATAACTCAACGACAAGTCAGAGGTTTGATTTTTTAGAATAACTTAATAACTGATCAGACTCTCTGTTTTAGAGAGTTTAACGATTTAATAGCAAAAGATCTTTTCTATTTTCCCCAATTTTACGATGCAATAACAAGTGAAGAAGCTTTTTTATTTTCAAATAGTACGATTCAACGACTTCAGATACATTTTTATACAACACACAAAGATTCAATAATTATTATTTTCAACTATAAAAAAATGAGCAACATTTAATGCATTATAACTTTAACAAAAGTGGTAATTGAAACGGATGCAAAATATACTACAAGAAATATATGTATATTCTGTAAAATAGTTAAAATATACTTCGAGTTTGATTTATTGATTAGAAATTTCGATAAAAAGAATAGGAAAGAAGAAAAATTAGAAGGAAAAATATGGGACTACAAAATACAAGCGCGAAATTTCTTTTCGCAAGATATTTGACAAATCGCCCGCAGATGGTTCTCGTGTCGATTAAAGAATCACGTCTGCGTCCGCATTCTGTTCGTGCAGCTTGTAGTAGCGAATAAAATAATCGCGAGAAAAGATGGTGGTGACGGTAGCTTCTGTACGTCAACAACTTACAAATTTAGCTCATTCCGGCGGTTCTCATAAAGACCAGGCCGAAAAGTAAGCATTTAAAGCATAACTGACGCTCGATTTATTCGTATACGCGCAATTAAACGATTCGCTGTTTAGGTATCGCGGAACTTTGGATCAGATATTGTTGTCTTCCGGCGAGGAGCTGGTTGATGCCTTGAAGACGTTCATCGAAGCAAGTATGTTATTTTTATCCAGCAAGCAACTTCAACATATTGATGCGCCTAAAACGTCTACATAGAGTCACTTTGTTTCCCAAAAATTTCTATAATTTAATTACTATTAGCTTATATAAGAAAAAGGTTCTGGAAATAAGAATTGTGAAGTACAGAATATTTTAATAGAATATTTTAATTCCAAAGGATAATACAATGTACACATTAACATGTTATTGAGTAGAATATGTTATAATATCAAAATATCTATCATAACGCAGTCTTCTAAAATAATAAAGAACATTATAAAACATGAATATGCTTGAACTAAAAATTATATTCACCAATATAATATACTCTATAAAATCACTAATAATTAAAAAAATCAGATGATCACATTCTCTGTACTATGTGCTTCAAGAAGTCTGAGAAGAATCAGTGCTTCCAAATTAATTTTCATTACAGTTGTCAACGAGAATGTGAGTTTAGTGATTTCAAGACAAGTTTTGACAGATGTAAGCAGCCGCTTGCTGTTTTTACCAGATGAAATATCAAAAGCTGTCTCGCATTATACATTAGATAAGGTAAGCTATAATAAAGTAATCATAAAGTATATAAAGACGAGTGTAATTATGATATTAAATATCAAAGTGCACTTTTAAACAAAGTAACTTGATGTCAATGCAGGTTCAGCCACGTGTAATCTCTTTTGAAGAACAGGTAGCTAGTATAAGACAACACTTAGCTGATATTTACGAACGTAATCAGAATTGGCGAGAAGCAGCAAATGTCTTAGTTGGCATACCATTGGAAACGGGACAAAAGTAATCTTTTATATATATATATATATATATATATATATATATATATATATATATATATATATATACTTGGCGATCGAATATATTGACACATTATTCATACATTAATCAAATTAATGGAATCTACTGTTTCAGGCAATACACTGTTGATTACAAACTCGAGACTTATCTCAAAATTGCTAGATTATATTTAGAGGATGATGATCCAGTGCAAGCTGAGGCATTTATCAATCGAGCGTCGCTTTTGCAGGTAACTTTTCTTCCTCTTTGCTATTGAGACTCTTGGTCCAATTACTACAGACCTTGAATTAATGACGTCAGAAGCGAGAGAACGCATGCCAGTAAAAATTGTCATTTCCAAATAGAAAGATATTTGTATAAAAGAACTTCAAATCAGCTGAGCATACTTGTAAAATGCTCTAAGAACTATCATTTTTCCTTTACAGTCTATAAATAGCTTCAAGTCCACTTTTTTTCATGATTTTGCCACATTAATTTTAAGGTTATTTATTGACTGAAGGGAAAGTGTAATTTTCAGAGCATTTTTTAAGTATACTCAAACTATTTAAAATGTTTTTTCATATTTAAATTTTTTTATTTGAAAACAAAAATTTTTATTGGCATACGTTTTCTCGATTCTGACATCATCAATCCAGGATTCTGCAGCAGTGGTTTCAAAAGTTTTACTATATTTTTTTTTCACAAAAGTGGTACACTCTGTTCATTTCTTTCGTCGTTGTTCGACAGGCTGAATCGAAAAACGAGCAGTTACAAATCTATTACAAAGTGTGTTATGCCAGGGTATTAGATTATAGAAGAAAATTCATAGAAGCAGCTCAGAGGTACAATGAATTGTCGTACAGGTCCATCATCCATGAAGACGAGCGCATGACAGCTCTCAGAAACGCATTAATTTGCACAGTATTGGCTTCTGCAGGCAAGGAATTAATTACTACGTGATTCAACTTGATCCCGCCACCGACGAGGTACTATAAAAGACCGTCGGCCTTACGGGTTTTAGCGACCCCGAGAAATCTGACCGTACATTTTTATATTTTACCTTTTTTTTATATCCAATATTCTTACTGTTATCCTACTTACATCGTCTTATCTCTTTCTACGTCTGTCAATACGATTTTTTTTCTTCGTCTGTCGATACGATTTCAGCACCGTTCAGTACTATATGTCGATAGTGTACTCTTACGAAAAAAATACAAAAAAATCCTCAATTTTGGGTGTAAACACTCAAAAACTGGGGATAAACATCTAAATTTGAGTGCTAACAGCCAAAATTGAGGGTTTTTTCGTATTTTTTTCGTAAGAGTAGTCACACGGAAAGTCAGAGCGTCTTTGTGTGAAAAACGGTCGATATTGTCATCGTTCTTCAATTACCTCCGGGCTCTTTGGCCGGGTCGAAAATTTACCCAGGGTCTTTAGTAATATCTCGTCGGTGGTCCCGTGTTTTGCTGTTTGGGTTGTCTAACGAGTTATCAACTCTCGTTACAGGACAGCAGAGAAGCCGGATGTTGGCAACGTTGTTTAAAGACGAACGTTGTCAGCAACTGCCCGCTTACTCGATCCTGGAGAAAATGTATTTGGATCGTATTATACGACGCTCCGAGTTGCAAGAGTTCGAGGCGTTACTGCAGCCTCATCAGAAAGCATGCACTATAGACGGACTAGGTTCCACCATACTCGATCGCGCTGTTATTGAACATAACTTGCTGTCCGCAAGTAAATTGTACAACAACATCACGTTCGAAGAATTAGGTGCGCTATTGGATATCCCGCCCACTAAAGCGGAGAAAATTGCTAGCCAAATGATCACCGAGGGCAGAATGAACGGTTACATAGATCAAATTGATTCCATAGTACACTTCGAAAGTAAGTAGTTCACCTTGAGGGTTTTCGACTTTTATCGCGCATATTAGTTCCGTTCTACAATAGATGCAGTAAGTCTTTCAAACTTATGCTCTAAGGACTATAATTTCTGGCAAAAAGTGTTTTCCGCGCTATCTTAACAGTTGGAATTGGGCCATCTAGCTTAAAGCTTAGGGATTACGACTTTAAGCAGCAAAGGAGGACAATTTTAGCCGACACTTACATCATAGTTTTGGACTTGGAGCAAATTGTTAAACGTTTATTATTATCTATCGTAGACCGGGACTTGCTTCTCGTATAATAGTGAAATTTACATGTCTTCGGCAAACGCGAACCGAATACAGACAGTGATACGAGTATTGCCAATATGAATATGCGAGTTCCGCTTCGCGTTCATTTTAAATCCTAATTTAATTCTTGAGTCTATTTCCTTTGTATTTACATAATTTGTTGCTCCGTGTAGCACGCGAAACCTTACCAACGTGGGACAAGCAGATACAATCGCTCTGTTATCAAGTGAATCAAATAATTGAGAAGATCGCTCAGACGGAGCCAGAGTGGATCGCGAAAGTGATGGAGGATCAAATGGTGCATTAATATAGATCTTGTTTAATACGAAGAGAAAACCAATCGCAGAATACGGGAATCGCCGCTTGTAACGTGTATATGATAACGGAACCAGCCAAAACCAGTAAAACACATTATAGCTCACTGTTGAAACGCGAATATTGTTTAACGCACGTCATGTAACATACACTATATTCGGTTATTTTCCACAATGACACCGTGTAAAATCTTTCGTTGACAAATTTTCAGATATATTTGTGTTGTTTTCAAAAGCCAATCAATAGGCAGTATTACGTACGAGATATTTTAAATACATATTGCATCTCATTAAAACTATACGATGTCAATTCTAACATTTCTTAACGTTTGCTAAAAAAGAAAAGAACAATGGAACTAAAAGGTGAATATAAATTTGTCACTATAAACATCGATAAATTCAAAAGAAGTGTTAAAACACGTTGTCTCATTTCTAATCCGATTCCGCTAATAAAATTTAGACAAGATCATTGTAGATGGAGAAGCAATGTACGTTCTTCTTGTAAATAAATCACATTCATACTTCGTACAAATATTCTTTTCTAGACGCGCCGATTACCAACAAAGAACAACCGTCCAGGAAAATAAAAGTTGCTCCTTATTCCACAAACATAATTATATATTTCCTATATAAAATAAAGCAGAATGGAATTACATGTAGTTACGCGTAATTATTCATTGTGTCTTTTGAAAATATGATCGTTATCATATATATGGCTGCGTGTATGTGTATAATTAAAACGTGGAAATTCTACAAAAGAATCTGACAGCGATATCCGAGGCGAAAATCGTAATTGTTAGCCAACGTGGCAGTATTTTTTTTAGATCGGCAACAGATAGTAAATATATCTATTCCTCGCAATAATAAAATGGCATACATAGCTGCCGATAACTATAATTTATACATGTATACATAATTATGCCTTATTTATAATGGGTAAGAAGGCATCATGTTCTCATGTAGGTGTGTGACAGTACTAAACGATAGAAATGCACATATATCTACTATCAAACACATTAATACTTTCTGATTGCATACAAGTATATATATCTAGAGGTAAAATCGAAAGTTCAACATGTACCCGTGAATCTCAATTCAATATCTGAATATCTTTCAATTACAACTGACAAGAGATAAAGATACAATGCTGAATATCCACAAAATAAAAATAACTAGTTTGCGCCGTTAAAGTTTAGATCCTAAAATATCTTGCATTCTTCGCAAAATCATATTCGTAGACGAATCAATTATAGTTTACTGACCGAATGTATGACGATATGTTTCGAAAACTTTAATTATCTTGCCATAACATAAGATTACGCATGCATATACTATCGCGAAGCGAATGGACAAAAAATTTTTTACGCCCTTGTGAATGTTTTTTTTTTATTTAACTTTATTGATGACAACTAACGATTCCCTTTTTCCGTACCATCGCATTATCTCTTTCTCTAGATATAGCTCCGCGCAGTCACAAAAAAAATTAAGGAAATAACTGTCTCAAACAGGAACTGACGAGCCGCCATGCATGTCATATGTTGTGAAACTTCAGCGAGATTAAAGAGATTAAGATTATAAACTTGACGTAAAAACTCGTCTTATTCGTATAGTAGTTGCGACATTACGTCGTCCACAAAATGATATCGCTATTTTACAACTGTGTATATGTTTCCTTCAACTAAATTTCAAATGATGCATGATATCTCGTGGCACCTATCTGGGATCAACCTATCTACGCATTTATAGGCAATATTTTATTTGAAGCATGTACTGTCACGCCAGTTGTATGACACAAAGGTCGTATGAGATATTTATTCATACTGGATAAATTCTCAACTCTTTCGTAACAGTACGTGTTTAAGCCTCAAGATCTAATGCAATACCATATTTGTGACCACCAGTGTTAAAGTTCTTTCCATCGATGCTTGTAGACAGCGTCAAAGTCACACCTGTAAATGAATATGCAATTATTTTGCGACATGATATGACACGTATACATTTTATTTGTAGATTTTATATGTAGATTTAACAGCATTCTTTTGTAGAAAGATTTTTATCTACTCGATAACAACATACTTCATGGATCGTTATTACAAGCGAACTTAGCTATTGTGAAATTGCTATTTTGCCAGAAGCTTATTCTGTATTTAGCATGGCTACGAGCATCGTCTATTAATAGACTGTTGTCTACTAAGCATGAACGAAAAATCTGTGTGTTTCTTTGATTAGACTTATATACGTTATCATATAGAGCAAATATTTACAAGTTCATAAAGAATTTATACGTTGTACTATGTACAATTATAAAAAGAATTTACAAGTATTTCTTTAAAATTATCTTTTAAAGAGAAATCACTTACCATCATGCAGTTTTTGTTGATATCCCAAACCTATTTGAAGATGAGAATTCACCTTGGCTCTAATACTAGCATCATTGTCAAGATTGTACTTCGCTCCAATACCGAATTGCGTTACGTTATTGCCCGAATTCCACGCCAAATTGATGGCTCCTTGTAAATCTGGTCTCACTTTGTGATAAATCGAGCTATTGAACTCACGACCATTTTCCCTAAAAATTTTCGTAGTGTATTACATATTATATTTGAATTTATTTGTTTAAACGTTATGGAGAAAATATCGTTTTATAAATATGCAAATTTTGCAAATAATACTTACACAGCAGTATGAAGGGCGAAGTCAGAAGCGGTAAATCCAAGAGCGAAGTTGTTCTTTGTAAGTTTGTTCCTTTGGGTATCAAAAGAACCTTGATAACCCGCAAGCCATCCTGCAAAATGCAATAATATGTTGTTCTAATTGCTCCCATACAATACACCTTATATCTGTTGTATCATAGATTTACTTTTTTTACAATGGCTCATATACAGAACAAAGAAATACCTATTTTAAGCAAAAAGATAATATATAGAAGAGAAAAAGAGGAGCAAGGATTTTGGTTGAAATATTTTTTACCAATTATATGTTAAAAAATACAACTTATACAAATATTATCAAGTTGTAATACCATAAAAGAAAAGTTTTGATTTAGATAACTGGAAAACAAGAACTTTCTTTAAGGAAATTAATAAAGACATTAATATAGAGTCTATTTATTATTGTTTTAAGTATAAAAAAAATTAATTAAAAAAACAATTGAAATTTCACACAACTCTTTGTGCTGAGTGTGGTGTCCCCAGACATCTCGAACTGGTAGATAACATAATAGCTTATATAGTAATGTGAAACAAATAGGACAAGAAAATTTAAAAACTATTAGATTTACTATATGGAGGATGAACATAAATCTCTTGAAAAATTCCCGAAATTAATATTTTCTCCCGGGACATTAAATAAAAAAATAAGAAAAATTATTTATAATTTCAAAATATTGCCATTTTGGTAAATTTCAACTTTTTGTGTATAACAAAAATTCATCTTCCATCAAATTTAAGAGTTTAAAATTTTTTTGTCCCACACACACATTTGTTTTAGATTTTAGATTTCACAATGCAATGTTGTTCACCAGTTAAAGGTATTCGGTAACACTGTGTTCAACAAAAACTTAGATAATGAATTTTTTTAAAAATAAATTTTTTATACTTAAAACAATGATAAATAGTATAGTCAAAATCTTATACTGATATCTATATTCATTTTTTTAAATTTATAAACATTTATTTTTTTACTACTTAACCAAAACTTTCATTTAAGAAGAAATATATAATAGACACTAACTGATATATTCTCAAAGAATACATTGATATTTAAAAAGTTCTCAAATATTGCTGCAAATTTACCTTGATAGCCGATAACAGCTGTGGTATGAATTAGCGGCCCAGCAGATAAACTAAGATCAAAGTCAGTAGTCGCGGTGACATTATCATGTTTGTAGGTTGTCTTCAACTTTCCAGTTTTGGAGCTGTAAAAGATGAAAGCTTTGAATAATACTAAAAGTTGTAAAACTCAGTTTTATGCTCAAAATATAATTTATTCAAAATTACAAAGCACTATATAATAGATTATCAATGTTCTCAAAAAGTTACAGTCTACCTTGTTAAAAATTACAGAATTTATTTTAATTTTTTTAATGTCAATAACATATCTTACCCAGTTTGTGGAGAAAAGGTACAACTATAACCAAGTGTAAGTCCTTTGAGCAATTTATCACAAATAGAAACATCAGTTGCGAGAGTATTGTCAGTGTTCCATTTCTCGCTGAATGATAATCCATATTCCTTGATATTGTATTTGGTTTCTAAATTACCAAATACCTTTCCTGTGTCATGGTTGGACACACCACCACAGGAAAATTGTACATTAGAGCTAGTTTTGGTCTTCACATCTAATTTGCACAGGCCAAAATGAAAGCCCTGTCCGAATACATCACGTGCACTTCTGCCCAAGTCGCTGTACGTCGGAGGAGACATGTTCTGTAATGAGAAGCAATGCTGTTGAAAAATTAACTATCTAAATTTGAAAAATCTACAATTTTTTATGACCTGTCCTTTCAACAAATGAATTTGTTTAGCTCAGAGCAAATGAAAGAAGCGCAACACAATCAAAGACAATAAAACAATAGCTAAATTTAACTCAAGGTAAGGTACATGCCAAGAATGTACTCTGTTCAATGTGGTAATTATACACGTGTACATTAAGTCTGAATGAATGAAATAGCGTACGAAAACATTTATATGCGCTTATGACGATAACTTTGTCTACACAAAGCTACTTTAGAAACATCACTTCTTCCAAGATTGCAAGGAACGGCGGGTAATTGTCGCACAATTTTTAACGCACGTTTAATTTACAAATACGATATCACGCGGTATAATAATCGCTGGTTTACGGGTTCTCGTGATTCACAAAGGAGATGGTATTGACCTGACGCAAGTATTACATAAGTTGCACAGCTCGGTCAGTCGATATTCGCAAGCGTTTAATTCTAACTTAGAATCAGCTTCGTGTGTCACTGTGCGCCGAGGAAACGTCGTCCTCTGTTCGATAGAGCGGTACACCTCGATCACGCTCGACAGACGACGGACGACCGTCGAGACCGATCGCGGCAGTCGATATTGCGAAGAATCACGAGCTCGTGCCGGCACACCAAAGAGACGTTCGCTTCGACTGATTTCTCGCGTGAAACAGCGAATTCAAGTTCGAATCTCGGTCCCGAGGGTCTCGCGATTCGTGAGGGATCTTTTCGCGTGGATAATCTTACGGAGGACAATTTTGTACTCACAATTTTACGTTAGGAGACGTGCTACAGAAAAATGCGCAACTTTGTCGTACGTCTACGTGAGAAGCGACGAGGCGGCGAGGAGAGAGCCGAGAGAAAGAGAGAGCCACGACCCACGCCGTCGACGCGTGCGCAATAGCGCGGCGCCTGAAAAAAAGGTGTCCGGCCTATTTCTGCGCAAGCAGGACGACCTGCGATGTGGATACCGCAATATTCCGCCACATTTGAATTATCATTGTTATAGATATTAGCCCGAATCTCTCTTATAGAAATATAAACTTTTATCTACATATTTTATCTGTAAAATACAGGTTAATAAAAGAATATAAGATGTAAGTACATAAATAAAACTTCACACATAAGGTAAGGTACCAATTCCCGGACACGTATCTAATTCTTGTTGTTTAATCTTTAAATACGAATGTTTAAACTTTTAACATAGAATATATGTACATACTTAATACTTATATATGTTTTTTATGTCGAAAGTTTAAATATTTATATCTAAAGAGATCAAACCAAAAAGAGTGTCCAGGATATATGTCCGAACATTGGTACTTTTACCTTAATATCATTAAAACTGTGTTTCTTTTTCCGCACACATTTGCTCTTCCTTTCTTTTCTTTCCAATGTTCCGTGTTTCTCTCATGATTTTTTCTCCTCATTATTGTTTCGAAGTGAAACACAATGGAGACCAAGGCCCTTATTCTGAATATTCTTTTATCCCTAAAAGCGCCTTTAAAGTTGATTGAAAGCCAAACGGAAAGCTTGTAAGCCATATTTAAAACCCGAGAGTCAAATCGAATTTCGAAAAATTTAATTATAATGCAATCTTTTAATTGTAATTCAATCTTCAATTATAATTCTAATTGTGATTTAAATTCTTTACCTGACCAATAGAGCAAAATCTCCGAGATATTAAAGGAAAGGAAGGAGAGAAAGAAGGAAGAAATCCCCAAGAATCACAGTTCATTGGGGCAATATTGGTTACAAATTAGGTCCCGATATACCCAATATTGGTCCAGTATTGTAAAGTAGACATTTTGTATTTTATAGCTAATATAGAATATTTTGAATATTGACAATTCATTTGTTACCAAATTGGCTATATATATATATATAGCC